CCCCCTCCCCCCCCCCCCCAAGATTCGGCTTTTGGCTTTGTTCTAATGTGGCTTGCGTTCTCGGGGCTGCGTTGGCGCGTAAAGGAAAGCGTCGAGGTGCTGGGCACGACAGGCCGAGAACCGCGATGCACAACATTACGCAGCATGGCCGGAGAGATGCATTTGGACGCACCACCGAGCGGCTTCCAGGCATGGACGTATGCTGTTGTCGAGACAGGGTAAGTTCTGAGTGAGGGCCGAGATGATGGTCGGATGTAGTTATGTTCTGTTGGTTTTCTGGTCCACGCAATGGCACATAGACAAACTCCCTCGACTTGCGCCGCACCAATTCGGTGTCTCAGACAGCTTTGACTGAAAAGTCCCCGTTCGGGAAACAGTGGGCCTGAGCGCCTAGAATCATTGATGAGACCTGCTATCGATCGGACTTGGGCTCTGTGACATTTGATGGTATTAATGTCCGGGCTGGGGGGTTGACTTATTGACCACAAAGCATAGAACAGCACAGCGCAGCTGGACCGGCGACGTCATGCGTCCATTGTTGGGAGCAGGCTTGGGTGAAATTGCGGGTGCACAAGCCGGGAAAACAGAAGACCAGCCAGCACAAGGCAGTCTACAGGATCCCAGCCCGTCAGCTCAGGTCCTGGCGTGAGCAAGCAGCAGCAAGCTGGGTCCTGGGCCCCACCAGCGCTGAGCTTGCTTTTCTGTTTGGGGTTGGGTGTTTATTGGGTCCAATTTCAAAGTACCCCTGGCGGGCCGAAGAGAAGACAAGACAGCACGAGAAGGAAAAAAAAAAAGGTGCCCGCCCGCACACCCCAGCCGGCGATGGAGCCCTAGCCAGCCCAGTCAGCCAGCCCAGTCAGCCAGTGGGTAGCGAGCGACCTTGAACCTGGCCGGCGCGGGCGGGCGGCGCGTGCGAGTGGCTGGGTCTCAGACATTTGACCAAGCCGATCCGCTGCTGCTGCTGCCGCTGCTTTGCTTGTCCACCCCCTCCCAAAACCTGCAGACACTTTGAGACCTCGGCACTGCGCACGCTGCCTGCTGCACCGCGCGCTGCCGCCACCGAATTGGCGAATCATCGTTGCCCGTCCGCCTGCCGCCAATTGGATCCCCCCGACTGTGCTCTCCGCAGCCCGGACGGAGAGGCCCTTTTTTATTTTTATTTTTTATTCCTAGCCGGCGACGACGGAGCCTGTTCGTGCTGGCAAAGGCGCGCGCTTGGCTGCCTAGACGGGTCAGGCCAAGGTTGGGTCAGGCCAGCCCGCCCATTGAGGCCACGGCCAGGTCGTCACAGGCCCACAGCCAGACGTGGGAAACGAGGTCGAAGTAGCAGCCACCTAAACGCTCACGACATCCGAGAGATGGGTGCCTGAATCTTGAGACCATCGACCGAGACGACTGGCCAAGTCACCTTGCAGAATCCACACCTTGTCTGCAGCCCTCCAACGAGCGGCCTTCCATTCGCTTGTCTGCGGCTTGGGCCCTGGCACGCTCAAAGTACCCAGCCCTTTTCCTTGCGTCTTTTCCCCTGTGATACTTTTTTTTATCATTTTTTGATCGCACCGTACCGGCCATCCTCCGGGACCCGCTGTCACATCCCCCTCCGTTCCGGCGCTTCTGCAAGTCCCACCCTCTTGAAAGGTGGGTGCTGTCGAAAAGCGCAGCAGAGGGCAGAGGCATTAGAGGCTCAAGCTGCAGTCCAACCCGTTCCTGGTGTGGTTTGATGGGCGGCCTGCAGCAACCTGCAGTCTCTTTCCCCCTCCCCCCTTACTGCGCGGCACCACACTGCACCTCACGCACATTGCATACCTCACACCCCCCAGACTGGCGCAGGAGTCCCTGCCCAGGCGACCCCTCTGCTGGGAAAGCAGGCATCCCAGTGCAGAGCGGAAACTGACGCAGAAGCGCGGGCGGCACCCCCGGGGCCACTCGTCGTCTGCCTCCTGTCACATCACCCTTCGTCCCAAGTGTACACGAGGGCGCGCGCTGCGCGACTCCTGATCATCACGACCTCTTGGCTCGAGATCAAAAGGGCTAAAGGGGGAGGGCAAACGTAAACATACACACATGCTGTCGGTCGTCGCCCCTCGTCCATTTCCATTTCTGCCATTCGCTGCCACCCTTTTCATTGCTTGACTATCCTGCACTCCAACCAACCCCTTCATCCTCACAGGCCCCAGTCATCCATCGCATCTCAGCATCACTGTTCGCGGATAAAAGTTGAGACCTAGCGAGGATCCTAACAATTCCATGTTTAGCTTTTAAAAAACATCCTAGTACCTGATAGAGTCTATCTCGCCTGGAGCTCAAAGGCCCTCCTTGCTCCCGCGACCCGGGGTTCTTGGTCCTTGCGGCTGTCCCGAGATCTCACCCTTGGCTTGGATCGGGTTAAAAACTGGAGCCGCAGCTGCTGTGGTGGCACCCGCACTTCACCGCCTCTCAGGAGCACCCTCGCCCCTGTCGAGTGACCGTCCCTGCGAGCCCGCTCGAATCCCACAAAAACACGCTGCCCTCCGGAGGTTCCACGGGCTCCAGGTTTACGGCCTGCGCGTGGGGGAACTTGTCCTAGTCATTACAGCTCTTGGCGGTTTCCTGTCCGGCTCGATCGAGGCCGGCCAGGCTCGTCCGACCCGCAGGCGGCCCAGCGCTGGCCCGAGATCTACACTGGTTGGCGGCACGCGGCGAGATCGATGACATCCTCCCCCCAGCCATGATCTATTGCAGCCCAGTCGCCACTCCCAACCTGAGCCGCAAAGCAGAACTTGAGTGCCTTTGTTGCCACACCACCTCAAGCTCCGCCCTGCGCGCACCCACTTCCTCCTAACCTTGCAGAACGCACCCGCGCCTGGCCCTATCCCCATTGGGCCCCTGGGAAACCGGATATCCAGTCCCCGCAAGACGTCGCTGTATAATATTGGTCAGTACTGCTCCAATGAAGCCACGCCGGGTCCGCCTGCCTTGGTGGCCGTTTGTGCTCGCAGCGTGCGTAGTCTCTGTGTCTAACTAGCTCGACCGCCCGGCACAGCCCTGCTGTAATTACGTTTTGGAGGCCAGCCCAACGGCCGGGAGGTCATTGTTTTGGTCCAACGGCCTCGGCCCACTCGCAGCCACCTGTTCGTAGCCTAGTCTTGGGCACTCCCCATCTGAGGCGCTCGCTGGCGGCCTCTGAAACTGCTCGCATCCAATACGCCGGCGCCTCATGATATGATTCGATTTGAGAATACCCACCCCCGCCATCCTTCTACCTGCAGCGTATCTTGTTGTTTCGGTGCCTCGGAATCAGCACCTGCTCGAGCCAGCCCGCCTCATCAAGTTTTGTCTGGTTTCGCCCACGCAGACCAGCACCCACCCACGCCCCCTTGGTCAGGCATCGCCCTCGCGTCCATTGGCGGCTACCACCCATACAAGACAGGCGCCGTCCCACTCAAGACGCGCGCCGTCACTGTCGGTCGCCTGCACTATCCTGCGTGCTCGCGTCTTAGCACATTACCCATCCCACGGCACTTGCCCTGGAGAACCATTCGATCAAGGTTTGTTTTTCTTCTCACATTCTCTTTACTCTTTGGCACTTTCTCAACGGAGCGCCCACAGGCTTTGCCTTGCGTGGGCTAGACCCGCCCATTCGAAGCGCTCGCTGGTCCCGTGGCGTTTTGCAAGGTCGCAGTCTGCTTTGGAATACCACCCACCCATAACTTGCGCCTGCGCTAACCTCGCGAAGCTACAAATCACCACAACACCTGGATAAGAGCCATCGCGATAGGGTCGCGCTGACTCTCCATGGCTTCTTCCGAGGTGGACCAAAAATTTCTTGGCATATTTGCCAGGAATGTCGAGCCCGACAATCCTCTGCTCGCGCAGATGCTGTTCAAGCTGCTTGGGCTTTCGGTCAAGCTTTCGCCACAGCTCGTCAGCGCTCGCAAACAGCGCAAGCTCAACAGCGCTTCCCAGACACCTTCGGCTGAGACGCTCGAACTTTACTTTCACATAATATGGCTCTCAAGAGAGGGCCTATACATGCTGGAGAACTATGTGCTCCCCATGGTCGGCAACTACGCCGAACTCAAGGTCCTTGCGTACAAGCTCAGGGCTTCATTCTATCACATATTTGTGCTTTTCCACAACCAGCCGCCCGTCTCCTCGGCATATCCCTCGACGCCCGAGATTGCCACATCCGCCACCATGCCCTCGGCGGTACCCCCAAGTCTAAGCAAAGGAAAGGATGTTGCGCGCCCCGAAAACGATATTAGGGACAGGCTCGGCAGGTCCTCCTCTGTTCAGCCCACCCACCCGCTTGAGGGGGGGCCAGTCGGTCCCCCGCCGGGTTTTGGCCCCAGCGCGCCAGCCACTTTCCTCCTCGAGCCCACAAACTACCTCCCAGTAGCACACAACTACTTCAAAGAGGCGGTGGCGCTCGCGGAGGAGCTTCTATGGGGGTCCCACTCGCTGCGGCTATCCGTCAAGACCGAATACGTCGCATTCTTGTACGACTGTGTCCACGATCATCAGGGCAGCCGCAAGGTGGCCCAGGACACCATCACCGAGGTTTACGACGCCAACGAGGGCATCGACAACGACATGTTCAGCGACGCGTGCGAGCTCGTCACGGTGCTGGGCAGGATGGTGAAGCGCGGCCTTGCCCCATCGGGTGCTCCGAAAAAAAGGTCACACGAAGGCCCTGCGCCGTCAGGAGCCTCTGCAACGACGAATGGGCCACAAACCACGGCCCCACTAATGCTGCCCACGACATCCTCGGCCCCGGCGGGGTTCATATGACGACGGCGGGCCGCATGTTGGTCGAGCCAGCGGCTTACTCTCGTAATCTCTTCTGGGTTGGATACTGCACGCCACACTGGCCCGAGAATCCGCGTGGCCAAGTTCTACTTGCGAATCTTGATAAAATGCTGTCATCTACGAGGCTACAATGTTTCGAGGCGAATACACAAGATACAGACAGAAAAGCGACTGCGTTCTGCATGCGTATTCCAGCGAGAGCGCGTTCCGTCACCAACCCAACTATTCCGGTCCATCAAACTACCGACACATCTGTATAATACATAATAACCCTGTTCCGCGGCTTCGCACAGTCGATACGCGCTTTCTCGTTTGCGCAATGGCATACACCCTGACGGCCGGGAGAGATCTAGCTCATTGCTCATAATGGCGGCTTTGTGCGTCATGCTTTGGTTGTATACTTGGGGAGTACTTTTTTTTTTTCGTTGGTCACATCCCCCGATTCGTCGCATTATTACGCGACTTGTCATTTGGCTTTTTTTTCATGTTCTCTGGACCAAAATCAGCATACGGCACATCGACTCTCCTTGTTCTTTGTCGACTTTATTTTGATACCCTTGGGCCAAGCCATATTTGCGCAGAGAGGACCTTGGCCATTTTTAGTTGTCATTTGCTCTTCATTTGATTGCCTCGACTACTTGGAGTCACAAGCTTCGAAGAGAGCGTTCTGAAATTTTCGGCCGACGATGCTTTGCTAGCCCGTGTGACCTCCTGCCGTCTTTGACT